AATTTTTAACATATGTACCAAAAATGTAAAGTTGTGTAGCTGTGATTCTTTTCTAAACAGACATTTCGGTGACTTTCCAGTTTAAAATTTGGAGGCTAATTTTCCTTAGTAGAATATCAAGTACTAATAATATCTTCAAATGTTGATACACTGTTACATCAAAGTCCCACTAATTCACAATTTAATATCATATTGTGATATTAAATACTACATAATCGAATTTTTAATCTTTCACAGAACTTTAACAAAGTCAGTAGGAAAAATGGACTATCATACTACAGATGTTACAGAGTGCACAAAATTCTGCCAGGGAGAGCTGAGATCAAAGAGTGGCTTTTTTTAGGAAACAAATCTACCAAAAACATGGGAACAGAAGTAATTCAAAATGTTCAAGACATATTAAATGCACAACTAGCTCCAAATTGCCACTTGGTATGTTTTGTATTACAGGATATAAAAACTACCACCATCTGCTCTGGCTGGTATGGCTCAGTGGATTGAGCGCTGGCCTGTGAACCAAAGGGTCAGTAATTCAATTCCCAGTCAGGACACATGCCTGGGTTGTGGGCCAGGCCCCCAACAGGGGGCATGTGAGAAGCAACCACACATCAGTGTTTCTCTCTCTCTCTTTCCCTCTCTTCCCTTCCCTTCTCAATAAATAAATAAATAAAACCAAAAAATATATAACAAAAACTACCACCCCAAAATATACCAAAATCTATGGAGTGTTAAGCTGATGCCTAAGACAACCAGAGCCTCACATACCCCACTATTTCCTGGTTGTATTAAAAAATAAACAACCAACAAGTGATTCACCTCTTAAAAAAAGCATTTATGCCCTAAATTGTGTTAGTCAGTCATTTGGACGTCACACAAACTGAAAGGTCAAGGGTCTCCAGTTTGATTTCCAATCAGGGCATATGCCTGGGTTGTGGGCTGGGTTGTGTGTGGACTTGGTCCCCTGGGGCAAATGCGAAAGGCAGCCAATTGATGTTTCTCTCTTCTCTTTCTCCCTGGCTTCCCCTCTTTCTAAACATAAATAAAAATCTTTTTTTAAAAAAGCATTTACACTTTAGAAAATGGGATTTGGTGGAATTCTATCTTTCTTAAAAATGTTTCCAGAGCTACTAAAAAGCTTTAATTATTTATCAACTATTTACAAAATAGTTGGATCATATAATAAGAGAGATATGGACTACTGGTAAGACATGGGATACGATATTAATCGGACTTGGCTTTTTTTTCTTCTTTCTCATCTGAGGCTGGACTCCTCTTTTTAGTGTCTCAGTTTTCCACAGGGAGATTTTCTTTAGCTTCCTGGTTAGCTATTTCAGCCTGTTTTCTCTTTTCTCCCCTTTTCCCTTGCATTTGCACTTTTTTTAAACATATTTTTAAAATATTTATTTATTTTTAGAGAGAGGGGAAGGGAAGGAGAGAGAGTGGGAAAGACACATCAATGTGTGATTGCCTCTCATGTGGCCCCCTGCAACCCAGGCACGTGCCCTGACTGGGAATCAAACTGGTGACCCTTTGCTTCATAGGCTCGTGTGCAATCCACTGAGCTACACCAGCCAGGGCTGCACTTTTTTCTTTTTTTTTCTTCTTGGTCTGCAGATTTACCTTTTCTTGCTGTCTTCTTTGGCTTCACTTCCACTTTTGCAGGAACAGTTTTGGCTGACAACCTCACCTATCTCCTCTTGAGCTCCTCCTTTTCTGTCCCCTCGGACTGACCTTCCTCTTGAGCATCTTGGCAGTGGGGCTGAGCCTTCAGGAACCTGGGCGACCTGCTCACTGCCTCGTTCCCACTGCCCAAGCTGCTTCACCCAGGGTGGGGTGGTGGAAGAACAGGATGAAACCTGATTGGTAGCCCGCCTCCCAACCCACTCCCTACCTTCCCCCCAACAACACTGGTACTAATTTTTATTAAAATGCACATATACTTTATATGGCTGCTGGCTGTCTCATATTCTTGTCTTTCCTCCTTTTGTGATCTGAGAGGCAAGGTCCCTTCTCATCTAGCTCCAAATAGCAACAACCCAAGGCTTTGTTTAATTCAGCTGGAAATGTTGCTGATCACATAGTGTCCCATTCCTTTGAACCAATGAATGGGGCTACAGGAATGAGCTACAGTATTTGGCCAGATCTAAATCACCTTGTGGCCACATGATTAGATACTGTGATTGACAGCTCCATCAGAATCAAAATCAAATTGGGAAGTGGATGGGAGAACAGTTCTCCAAAGGGAAGAAAGTAGTAATGGACAGACAGAAACAGCAGCTGTCTACAAAAACCAAAACTCTTCTGAGTTTTGGTAGAATGACCCAGTCCCCCCAAATGTGGCCGTCCTTTGCTGAATTGAAAACAAAAAGTTTTGAAACTATTAAATTGAGGACTGAACGTTCAGGTAATGACAAATATCAGAGGACTCTTATTTGAATGATACTGACTTTACTTAATTGTAATTATCTCCTTTCATTTCAGTGTCTGAATGGATTTTATAATAAATAAATGGCATGGAATACCTAACAGGGGGCTATTGTTCTTCTTTTAAAGAGGAGTATACTGGCTCTTGGAAGGATGGGGAAAAAAACCCATAAAAATCCTGGCTTATGGCTTGGGGGGGGTCAAGACTTTCAGCCTCATATTTTATATTTTCCACAAGGGAGGCTTCTAGAGTTCAAAGTTAGAGTGAATTTTTTATTTTAAGAGACTTAAAAGTAGGCTATTTTATTTTATTTTTTCTTAGTGTTTTAAATAAAAAACCCTTATATCCTTTCAAAAATAAGGCTGAAGGAATGTTGTTTAAATGGAATGAATGAACACACATGAGAGGGAATAAAAATTCTGCCTCCCAATCTGTGTGTTAGGTTTCCCTGCCAACAGTGTTTTGCTTTTGCACCAACCATAAATCTCCACTCATATCTGTGTTTTTAAAGGTACCTACTTTCATATTTTGAAATTGCTGTGAGCAGTTAGCTATTAGAGTGTTGCTACCCATGTAAGGAGGTGAAGCAAAACATTCTCTCCTTATGTTCTTTTGCCAGCAAATATCTGACTCAGAGCAATTTAACAAAAGTGTTGTCTTTTGAGCCCTGCCTCTTCGATGTTTCCTTGCAATATAGTCTTTGAAAACTTATTTACATTTTAAGAGATAATATTTTAATTAAAAACATAAATATAAATTTTCAGTGAAAAGTCCTACTCTCACCCTTTTCACTGTCTTTTCAGTTCTCACCACCCCACACCCAACAGTAACCGCTTTTACCAGACGTATACAACTTTAGCTTTTTAGTATAAATGTGAACAATATGAATATATATTCTCATTTAAAACAAAAGACGATATTTCTCTAAATGTTGCTTTTGAAAACTTAGTATTGTATCTTAAAGAGCTTTTATGTTGGTGGATAAAACTTCATTTTTTTTTACAGTTGCATAGTCTTCCATCAGGTGGACACGCCATGTTTCTTTGGCCGGTGCTTATTAATTTACACATAGATTGTTTTCCATCTCTTATTCTAACAAACAATACTGCAATGATTAATCTTATACATAAGTCATTTGTAAGTCATAGCAGATGTACATCTGTAGAATAAATCCCAGAAGTGGGAACGCAAGGTTGATTAGTTAAAACATTTGCTATTCTTGCTGTGTTTTTACTTTTAAAGCAGCACTACCCTTATTCTCTTGGTGAACTAACTGATCCTCATTCTTTAATACTCATTTTAAATGTGAGCTACTCTGTAAAGACATCCTGACCCCTTCTAAAGAGAGTCATTTGCTCCCACCTCTGTGCTCTCATTGACCGACCCATGTTTGTGCCTCCATTACAGCTCTCAGCCCTTTGTACCGATTATTATTGGTATGGCAGTTAACTTCACTGGTCTATGAGGCTGAAAAACAGGGATGCTGTCTGCTATATTTCTGGAATCCCAGGACCATGGATAGTGCCAAGTGTGTAGTAAATGCTCAGTACGGATAGATGGGGGACTGGATGAATAAATAAATAAATATGACCAAAGAAATTACTATTTCTAATCTGGGGCAAATAACAATGTAATGACCAGTCTACATTGTCGTGCTTTAAGATTTGGTCTGGCTAAGTGGGTTGACTGAAAGGGAGGTCTTGGACTGGAAGCATTGAGTTCAGATAAATAATTGACAATGGAGATCTTTACCAGATAAGGTTCATATGGGTGAAAGCTCCAGAAACAGATCTGTCACTGAAGCAGAAATTAGATTCATTGTGAAAGCTCACAGAAAAGACAGGGCGGAATACCCAAGTCTCAGGAAGGGTGGCAACAGGGTCAGTCCTTCAGAAGTAGGAAGAGTGTTAGCTTCTCTTCTGAACATTGTCAGAGGGGACTTACCTCTTACCACTTTTTGTCTCTGTTTAAGTTCTCAAAGTTCTCAGAAAAGAACCTGATAGGTCAGCATAGCTAAGGACAGATTTAGTAACATAGGTATGGCCTTTTGAGAAAAACATTATGTGCCAAGAAGCCATTGTAATTTTTGATTACAAGTAGGGCCCAGGTGACAATGTAGCGGGCTTTCTATCCGATGTGTGTGACAGAATGACAAGGAAGCCAGGAAAGAGAAGAAAGCAGGTCAGTGGGGCAAGGCATCAGGTAGGAGAACAAGCAGAAGCCCAGCCATCAAGATTTGGGCAATAGGTCAAGATCAGACTGGCAGCCCAATGTGGAGCTGGAGTCATCTGAGCACATCTGGCCCCAGGTCAAGATTGACTCTGGGAACCAAAGAGGACGGAGCCTGTCCTTGGGAAACAAGTGGGGAGCCAGTAGAAAGGGTGTGCAGGCTGGACACCAGGCTGTGCCTGCATGCACTATTCCTCCACGCAGAATTTGGAACATATTTCTCTTCACTCATTGGCCGACTGACACGATGAGGGACAGGCCCAGTCTGCCTTAATCCCAACAAAGTGTACCAATGAAAATGCTGACATTGCATTGTCTCTCAACTGTTTCTGCTTGTCATTTTCAGCCTTGAATCTGACTTGCATACTGATGTGACCAAGAGAAGGGAGGATGCTGTCTTTCATTTTGTGCCTGCTGTGTTCCAGCGAAGCAACAGAGATCGTATGTGCATTATTACACTTTAAAATACCTTCAAAACAGCCCTGTGAGAGAAGAATTAGGCCCCCTTTTTATAGATGGGCCAACGTAGGTGTGTTAGTCCATTTGGGCTCCTATAAAAAAACACCACTGAGTGGATGGCTTATATACTAAAAATATTTATTTCTCACAATTCTATAGGCTGGGAAGTCCAAGGTCATGGTGCTGGCAGATTTGGTTTCTGGCAAAGGCCCACTTGCTAGACAGCTGTCTTTTCATTGTAACCTCAAAAGGCAGAAGCGGCAGAGGAATGTTCTCTGTGAGGCCTCTTCTTTTCTTTTTTTAAAATTGTTTTTTAAAAATTTATTGATTGATTTTTTTAGAGAGAAACATTGAGTTGTTGTTCCACTTACTCATGAATTCATCGGTTGATTCTCATACGTGCTCTGATGGGGGATCAAACCCACAACCTTTGCCACGTCCAATGCTAACCATGTAGTCTGACAGAGTCACAGCATGGGGACTACGACCTCACAGAAGCATGTTCCGGCCAGGTGGATGTGGCATAAGTGGATATATGGTGTTGATTCTGTTTGTGCTGACTCTTGGTATTCTGACATTCACTTTTCTGATAATTTGAAATCTGCTAGAAATGATGGCCATTCTCAGAGCTGATCAACAACTAGGTCAGACTGAGAAAAATGCCACCTTGGCCTTTCCCCAAAATAATACCCTCTCTGGGGTCCCAGAAGAGGAAAGGCCCACAATGTCCAGTGAGTCCAAGGGGAAGAATATTTTCTTCCCTGACCCAGTTAAGCAGATGCAGGACAAGTTAATATTAGGTAGCAGGAAGCGAGAATTACCCAGAGCACTCCCCCAAGTTAATCCCCTCTAAGGAAATAGTTCCTGAATATCTAAAAGTTGTTAGAGTAACAGCCCCTCCTTTACCTTGAACAAGAATATATATTAATTAGAATTAAGCAGGCAAAGAAACAGGAAAAGCTTGTTAGATACCACAAACTAAACACGTAGATACAATTACCAAGGAGTTAGAGTCCATAGTACATAGAGAAACATTTTAGACAGAAAGATAGATAGCTAAGTTAGACATCATAAAGGCCTTATAATAAATTTCCTAACCTCTGCTCGATCTAGCGTACCTTTTGCTCCATGCCAAATTCTAGACCTTTAATAAACAATAAGACATTCAAACTCTGTACATAGAGCTATTTCAAATTGTCTGATTAATGGTTCTCCTGGTCAAAACAATTTTTGTTTAATATAACTGAAACTATAGAAATTCTTGTACTTTTCCTCGTTACCTTTGTTTTGAATTTTTCTGTTTAACTAATCATGCTATACACCTGCAAATGTTAATCACTACCTAAAACGAAAATATAAAAACCTGCTTGTACTTGCAATAAACGGAACAGAGCTTCACTGTCCTTTGAGGCATGTCATCTGTTACCCATCGCTGACGCCTCACCTACCTTCGGGAATCCCTGGACTCTGCTGCAGCTGGACCTCGGCAACCTTGGAGCATCAGGATGTTCTAACTGAGCTACCTTAGTGTGTGAGGCCTCTTTTATAAGGTCACTAGCTCTGCTCATGATTTAATTGCCTCCTAAAGGTCCCACCTCCTAATTAATACATTACCTCAAGAGTTGGGTTTCAACATATGAATTTTAGGGGGAAACAAACATTCAGACCACGGCAGAAGGTACAGTAGCTTGAACAAAGTTCTCTCTGGCCCCAGTGCTCGTACTTCCCTTCAATGGCAGTGTCTAGCTTCTCTTGGGCCCCATCCCATGCTCCCTGGGGCCCGTCTGGATAGTGGCTACACGGTAGCCATGATGTCATGGGCAATGGACTACACTGGAGTCAGGACACCTCAACCCTGGGCTCTGCTGTGTTACTGATTAGGTGGTGGCTCGGTTTCCTCATCTGTGCAATGAGGGGGTTGCCCTAGCTGACAGCAAGGCTCTTTTACTGCTCCCAAACTGCCAAGCGTCTGACGTCATTGCCTTTGAGGCAGTGAGAGGTCACTTGTGCTTTAGAGAACTTCATTTTGATCTGTACTAGTGCCAGATTAAGTTAGTTACTGAGGGACAAAAAACCTGTATTATTGGCATTTTAAAAAATCCCTTAGCTATTTTTTCCACGTGATATATGATTCAAAAAAAGGGAATTGAGTTCCTACATCAGTGTGGTCTGGCATTCTCAAGGAAACTTTGAACTTGCCTATACAGTTTCTCAGGTACATTGCCGTCTTGACTTCTAGCATTGGTCCATGAAAGTTATTTTTAAACTTTCTCTCCAGTTTTGGTAGTGAAAATCATATTTCAACTTCATGAAATTCTTATTTAGAACTCTAAAATGTAAACCCAATGTAACTGGGTGTGGGAAAACAAAAAGTTATTACATCAACAGTTTTTTTTAAAATCCCATTGGGAAAAAAGTATTTTTTGTGTTGGGGAAAAAAAAGACTCGCATGGATAGAAAGTCGGACTTGCACTTTTGCACACTAGAAAGGAACAGGCATTTGGAGGTGGAGGGATTGGGTAAAAGACAGCAGAGAAAGAAAGGGCTCAGTGATCTAGTGTTAGGCAGGAGCTCAAGGTCCCTGGAATTGGTGGAAGGATCTTCTTAAGAATGGCTGTGTCTAATATTCAGTCTTAAAGTGTTAGGTTTCTGTGATAGAAACTTCTTACGTAAGCCCCAACACTAAGCTTTTGATTGCCAAAGCATCCAGTTCAAAGACATCCATCTTGAATAAACATATTGCCAGTAAAACAACTAGATAAGAAACCAGGCCACTCCGCCCATGAAGTTCTCCTTTTAGGAAGCCTGGGTTACCCAACTGGCTGACCACTTGAGAGACCCCACTTTTTTCTTCTCCCATCCTAATTCCCACTTTATATTTTAAATTTGCCAATAAAGAGCAAGCACATGAAACTCTAGCACCATATTCTTGACTCATAAAGGCAGAGTCCCAGGTCCAGACTCGCTCCCCAGCCCTCTATACCCGCAACCTCACTGTGTGGCCCTCTGCTGTGCTGTGTACCCTCCAGGATCTGTGAGTAATAAATCTTGTTCTCCAAAGTTCTCCGACGATTTCTTTTAACTTGGGTGCTTCTTGCAATCATAATAAGAAGCACAAAGGGAAGTCCAGCCACAACGTTGGCTGTGCTGGGAAAATGTCTCTGGGGGTTGCCACAAGTAGCATGGCCCCAGGTGAGTGCCCCAGGCATTACTGTCCATAGGGTAAGAACGACAGAACAAAATCCTGCCCCTCTCTCCAACTTTGCAACACACACACCCCGTTACGTGAGTGGAGATTTTTGTTATGTGGACTAGGTGGATGGGTGGATGTGAAAACCAAGGAAAAGGATTGGGTTCCATGTAAACTAATTTACTGAAAGAAGAAACTATCACTTATCAAGTGCTTCTAGGTCCCAGGCAATACACTTGGTATATTTAATCTTCTAAACAACTCTAAGAACTAGTTACTATTATTAAACTCTATTTTAGAGATGATAAAAGTAAATTCTGGAGACAATTCATAATTTGTATAAAGGTACCCAAGGAGCATGTGGTGAAAACAGGACTGGAATTCACATTTGCCTGATTCCAAAACCCATTTCTTACCCAGTCACTAGTCTGTGTGGCTGCTCGTGTTGGACAGGGGTCTAGTCATTGGGACCACAGAAACTTAAAATTGGTAGCAAGCTATGCCTTCTGCTCTTCTTTGCCTTCTTCCTCCCAAGTTTGTCTTGCTTTTGAAATGAAAAGATTTTGTATTTCATAAGCAAAAGGAATCTCATAAATATAAACATAGCATGGATTTCTGCTAGTGATAATACATAGCATTTTGTGGTATCACATAATTTGCAATCTGCTTGGTATTATGCTTTATAAGTTTGATTGATAGTCACATCAAAGAAGGCAATAGAACATAGTGGTTAAGAGTAAAGGTCTGAAATCCTTAGCTCAGACACTTCCTGGCTATATAAAACCCGACTAAAAGGACTTCTGGCCAATGTGAAGGCATAGGTAGACACACTGTGCCTCTCCGCACAACCAAAATAAGGACAACAACAATTTAGAAACAAAATAACAACCAGAACTGACAGAAAATTGAACTGTATGGAAGTCAGACAACCAAGGAGATAAAATAGACACATTCATCCAGACTGGTAGGTGGGGCGGAGTCAGGCAGCCTGGTGGAGAGGGGTCTTGGCACAAAAAGCGGTGGCACCAGGTGTGCAAGGCACCCCAGGCACATAAGACAGCAGTGGGTAGACCCCGGGTGTGGGGTGGCAATGGGCAGACCCAGCGAGGCAGTGATTGTGAAGCAAGGCACTGCGCGCAAGGCAGCTGGCTGAACGAGTGGTCCCACATTGGCATGCAGATAAACTAGGCAAAATTTCGGAGTGACACAGACCTCGCAACCTCGGGCCTCAGTGCAATGAAATAGAGCCTCAAAACACTGATTGAAAACACCTGTAGGGGGTGAGGCACAAGGAGAGGTTCCCAGCCTCACAGGAGAGTTTGTTGGAGAGACTCACAGAGTCCTAGAACATATATAAGCCCACCCACACGGGAATCAGCAGCAAAAGGGCCCAGTTTGCTTGAGGGAAGTGGCATAGGGGACTGAAATCCTGCGGAGAGAGGAGAAAGTGCCATTGTTCTCTCTCTGCCCCGACCCCACATGTAGTGTCACTATGGGTTGCCCCGCCCTGGTGAACATCTAAGGCTTTGTTTGCCCTTCACTAGGTAATTGGTGCAACAAGACAAAAAAAAATAACCCAAATGGAAGAACAGATCAAAGCTGCAGAAAAAAATACAACTAAGTGACAAAGAGATAGCCGACCTATCAGATGCACAGTTCAAAGCACTGGTGATCAGGATGCCTATAGAATTGGTTGAATTTGGTCGCAAATTAGATGAAAAAATGACAGCTACACTAAGTGAAATGAAGCAAAATGCACAGGGAACCAATAGTGATGGGAAGGAAACTGGGA